GGAGATGCTCTTGGCAGACAAAAAATACATAATCCCTATATCTGGACTGATAGCCAGCCATATGCACCATACTGCCAAACCGGTCATTAAAAAATTGAACCACTTTTGGCTGGCGAGGCGTGGAGAAAAAGAGAGGCAAGGGCTGATCAGCAGGTCAGACCCTGCTACTCTCTCCAGGCCTCGCCAGCAGCCTGGGATGGCTGCTGATCAGCCCGACCTATCTCTCTCTGAGAGGTCAGCAGTTCAGCCTGCTCACCAGTCCCCACCCACTCAAGCCTGCTGCGCATACAGCCTGGTGTTCGGTCATCCCTTCGGTTATTTTGGACATTACGGACCCTGGCTCTTTATATATATAGATTAGAATATAATCATTTAAAAATGTAATGACTGTTCTTAGTTCAAGAGCTGTACAAAAACAGGCAGTAGGCTGGATGTAGCCTCCTGGATCTAGTTTTCTGTCACTTGCCCTACAGCACAATATCCTTGTTACCTAAAATTCCATTGACAATCGTTTTTTAAACCCAGTCATAAAATCTAATAAATATTTCTTTTACATGTTCTCAGTCATCATTTGTTTTTTTTCTAGCTTCCCCTTATCTATCCTAATCACATTATTTCTTCTACTTTAATTTAGTGAATGATTAAAATTACAAATGAGACCTTTCCATTCAAAGTTCCATCTTCTTTTCTCTGTGATATCTTTAGCAAAAGTACTTTTTGAGAGAGGTTGGACAATGTAGGTAATAAACAGTGTATTAGAAAACCTGCAGTGAGTAAGCCATAGGAAATTTGCAATATAGGGAAAGCAGCTTAATTTAAGTAAAAGCACATATATATATAAAAAAAAATTGAACCACTTTCTTACACCTTACACCAAACAGCTGTTGCCCTTAAAACCCCTCCTCAGCCCTCACCTTAGGTTCTGCCTTCGCAGTTCACCCAAATTAGGTACTGATTGGTTGGTTTCTATGCCAGTCAGTGTCAAAAGCTCTGCCTCCTAGACAGCCATTGGCTCCTTGCAATTCACCCAGATTTGGTTCTGATTGGTCGGTTTCTATGCCAGTCAGTATCTCTGGGCCTATCTCCGGGCCTGATCATAGAGGTGGGGCTGATCAGCAGCCACCCCAGGCTGCTGGCGAGCGGGCTGAACTGTTGACCTCTGGGAGAGAGAGAGAGAGTCTTTGCTGCTGGCGAGGCCTGGAGAGAGGAGCAAGGTCTGATCACCCTGCTTCTCTCTCTGAGCCTCACCAGCAGCAGCTGCTGCTGCTGATCAGCCCCGCCTCTCTCTCTCTCTTCAAGAGGTCAGCAGTTCAGCCCACTTGTCTGCTGCACGCGCAGCCTGGCGTTCGGTCGAGCCTTCGGTCGTTTTGGATGTTACAACCCTGGCTCTTTATATATATACTAGAAGCCCAGTGCACAAAAATTTGTGCACTCGGGGAGGGGGGTCCCTCAGCCCGGCCTGTGCCCTCTCTCAGTCTGGAACCCCTCAGGGGATGACCACCTGCTGGCTTAGGCCTGCTCCCCAGGGGATTGGGCCTAAGCTAGTTTAAACAGACATCCCTCTGGCAGCCCAGCAGCCCTCGGGGGATGTCCACTTTCCAGTGGGGAGCAGACCTAAGCTGCAGTTGGA